AAATTTCTCACAAGGAATCTTTCCCTTTGAACGATGGACAAGCACGAAAAACCCACTAGAGTTCGCAGAAAAATGCTTCTTTCACGGAACAACAAAAAAAAAACAGTGATACAATCGCCAGGCAAAAACTACACCCTTCTGAAAGCGCAACGTCAATTTCGTTCTATAACTGACTACCTTTGTTGTTGATTGAAATGAAACTCTTCCAAAAGGCTTTATTTGACGACGTTTCGGGCCGTAAGCCCTTCTTCAGGTCTATAACATCATCCAACAAAAAGGGAAATTTCCCTTTTTTGTAATTGGTTAGTCAGCTTCGTATATCATGTTGTATTGATTCACTCTTTTATGTTAGAACGTAATGTATGGATGATGTTATAGACCTGAAGAAGGGCTTACGGCCCGAAACGTCGTCAAATAAAGCCTTTTGGAAGAGTTTCATTTCAATCAACAACAAAGAAGTCTCGTGAAACAATGAAGCTCAGGAATCCTATGATCTTAATCGAAACTGACAACCACTAATTATACAATGTTCTCTGCCACTTATGCACATTACCACGTTAGTGATCGATGGATAAAAGGGAGCAAAGCAAGCAGTCAGATACTTCCGATATTCGGCTGGCTTTCGAAAAGCGGAAAACATACAAAATGGTCAAAGACGAGAATATTAGATTAGCTGAACCCATTTTCACTAAGCACAGCATGTTCTGTCATCCGAAAAAATCAACTGACCTTTTTGATTTCTATCTTGCTCTAACATCATTTCCTCGGATTCCATTTCTGGATTTAGTTTTGTGCGCAAATAATCAGGAACTACGTCATGATTCCATGAATGTACACGATACGATGTCAGTGTCTGAAACGGATACACTGGAGCTTTTGTTAGGCTGTACAAACAGGTGCCAAGTGCTAAACTACAGCAGCTGGTCCTAGAACGGCGACGTCATCGAAACGGTGGTACAGTAACAATGGTTTTACTACATAACGGTCTCACTTGCAACTGTGAATCCGGTTCGAGCTGCAGACGTTGCGGTACCAACACATGACTTCTCAAAAGTGCTCCATGATCTTCATGACCTTGAAAAAGTACAACTGAAGGGAAGGCTTGAAAGCTAGCAAAAATACGTAACCATATGTTCGGCCTTGACGAAACGGTTCTAGGTAAGTAAGAAATTGAAAGCATAGGAATTCCAATACAATACCTGACTGTATGGCGCTCTTTTTGAGAGCTCCTTGAAGTTGAGACATCGCTGCGGCCAGTGATGAGAACTTGTCTAGCATGTCTGGCCTAGAAAGTGCACTTGAACGTTGTTCCAAGAAAAAAAAACTAAACGAGACACAACTTATGGGATTCCATGCGGCCAATTCAGTAGATACCGCT